AACATAACCTGGAAAATGATCGGTCAATTCCCATCTGCTCAGGTGGGACACCCTGACAGCACGTGACCCACCATGCAATGCAATAAAAGGACACAGCACCAATTCACGTTTCATTTCAACTCAACGACTTAAACTTTCGCAGTTTGTGTGAAATGGAGGAATGAGTTAAAACCAAGGGAAACAATGAGACAATTACTAAAAGTGGGACATTTTAGAGAAATCTGACCTGGACTTCTTAAAAAGTTATTGTGATTTTTAAAAGGGAGTGGGTGGGGGGGGGTTCTAGACTGAGAAACGAAAAAGGCATAACCAAATGTGTTCTGTGATGATTGGACCCTAGTTTGGGAAAAAAAGTGTATATATGAAATATATTTGGGGAACAATGAGTAATTTGAATAGGGAGTATATACAATATTGAGGATTTATTAATTTTCTCAGGTGTGATAAATATATTGGCAAAGATATGTAAGAATGTCTATTTTTTAGGAGACATATGTTTCAGCATTTAGGGGTGAAATGTCATAATGTGTTAGCTTTTAAATGATTCAGAAAATAAAAGAAGAGCAATAGAGACCATGAGAGAAAAGACAGTGAGACCAAGATCAACCAACTGTGGTTAGAGACCAAAACAGACTGACAGGAAGAGAGACAGACCGACCAAACAACCAGAGCAGGGACACACATCTGCCCAGAGAAGCAAATGTGACAAAATGTGAATAACTGTTGAATCGACATGAGGTTATTACACTATTCATTTCACTTTTCCGAAAGCTTGAAATTTTCAGAACGCAAGGGAGGAAAACAAATCTCAAGAAAACATGAGCACACACAAACCTGGCTCCCTGTGAGAATATAAGCATTTTATTGGCAAGGACTCCCTCTCCTTTATCTTTGATTTCCTGGTACCCAGCACAACATTTAATATGCTTGACAGATGCTCAGAGAAAGATGAGAGAACTGCTTTTATTTAAAAATACAACTACTAAGATTTACTGAGCCCTGAACACGTACTGAGCAATACAAAAAGCTTCCCATTCCTGATGGCATGTGATCTTTGCCGCAATCCTGAGGGAGATGCTATCCTTATCCCCGTATCACCAGTGAGGGAATGTGGGTTTCAGAGGTAAAATAATTTCCCCAGGCCACAAAGCTACCAAGTAGCCAGGCAGAATGTCCAGCTGTTTGACCCCACAGCCTCCATCTGAACTCTGTGTCCCAGTGCAGAAGGCTCTCAAATTTTAACGTGCATGAAGATTTTCCCTGGAAACATTTATAAAATGCACGCTTCTGGTACCCTCCCACAGGTCTGGGGTGGGACTGAGGGAACGTGCGTTTTATTTTCCTATTATTTTTTTAGGAAAGTGCATTTTTAAAGGGACATCTCCAGATAACTCTGATGCCAATGGTCCACAGACCACATTTCAAGATGTGCTGCTTAAAGGTACCACAGAAGGGCAAATGGGCAAATTCCAGAAGGGCCCAGTCGGTGTCTGGAGACGGCAGTGTGCATGCGGGCAGAGCAGCGAGTAGCATGTTATTATTAACCCGGGTTAGAACAGGTTTGTTTTTAATAAAATAATGCAACCCTCCTCACAAGATGCACAACACTAAGGACAGATGAGGTCTCTGTATGCCTATATCATCACAAAAGACAAGGGCAATGAAACAAAGTGATGTCTGAACACCTCAACGCTGAATTCAAGTGCTTTTGTCAAGATTCTGATTTCTGATCACTTGTAAGTTGCTATCAATCAATATTTGATGCCATCTAAGAGAAAAACACTTTGGTAATTTTTTTCTTTAAAGGCAAAGTTCCTTTCATTTCAGGGTTACCTTTCCTTGAGGTCAAAATGGTGTAGAAACATACTATTTCCTAATTTCTGAATTAATGTTCCAGGAAAAAAGAAACATGGACCTTGTAAAGAATCCCATAAAGATAAGAGCTTTGTAAGCCAAACACATAACAGAAGTTGAATGATTCTTGAACTTTGTTTATCGGTTAAAAAAAAAAAAAGCCAGGTTATTGGTTTGTAGATTATACATATTCAAAATCCTTATAGTAAATGCAATGCCAAATCAATACCTAACCTTTAAAAGACTATCAAATTTTAAATGTTAGAAGTAATTACCATCAATTTATCAAATTATTACCAAATAAATACACAGCTTTCTTTTTCTTCAAAGGTTCTAGTTAGATTCTGACAGGACTTCTTATTGAGAAATACAACTCACTGATTTACTGAATTCAAATTAACATCACCCTTTGGCTTTCCCAGCACATTAAGACTATTAAAGTGTTTTTTTATACATGATCACTATTCTATGGACCCACATTGAGGACATTTTAGAATCACTATTCTTACTGTAATCAAAACACTTTTTTTCATGTGTTGATCCATCCAGTCTATTATGCTATTACTCTTAGGACAAACTGCAAAAAGTTTATAGCCAACAGCCAAAGACTAAAACTTACTAAAATATGGGACCCTTCACCTGAATATTACCAGACCAGGGCAATATTTACTGTGCATTTATTTATATGTTAACCTAATCAGTTACTGGCTATATTAACATGGGCTGTTCGGTTACGAAACAAGTAATTTCCCTTAAATAGGTTTGCTAAAATACCACCCAAACTACAAATATTGGGAAATACTGCTTGTCTACTGCCATGTTTCCAGAGTGTCCTCTTAATTAAAAAAAAAAAAAAAAAAAAAAAAATCTGTCACAGTCCTCCATATTCTCAACTCCCCATATACTAAGTGCAAACTTGTGATAGAAGTGTAGCTGTAACTACCGTTGGTCTTTCTCTCTTTACAAAAGACAAGACCCATAACATCGCCCAATAACCAGGGTCAAAATTCCAAGTAAACTTCTTAATATAATGAAATACCTTAAGGCTCAAATTCTTTTACTTCTAGGAAAAGGGCCAGCTTTCTTATTCCTATAAGCTAGTAAGTAGCACATTCTCTGCTTATTTTCACCTAAGAGAGACATCTGTGGCAAGACTGAACTTTACAAGTGCCCCTTACCCTTTGCAACTGGAGTGAACCCATATAAATCACTAGAACTGTGAGCAGTATGAAGGACTAGGCAGAGTTCAAGGAAGCTAAAACACAAGGCAAGTCACTCTGCTTTTAAAAAAAAAAGCTAGCATGTCTTCTCAGGCGATACTGGGGAAAGGATGGGGACTCGGCTGAGCTCGGACTGGTGCACATCTGGGTGAGCAGATCCCTGGCAGGCTACTGGCTCTGTCTGCCTGGAGGTGGGCTCTCGGCAGCCACGTTGCTGCTGTTTGTCCCTGCTCTCTCGTCACAGAAGAGGCACCTGAGCCGAAATAAGCCACTTAGATGTTCACCTCCTTGGGAATTTAGAACTAAAACTGTCGTCTCCGTCTGCACTAGACCCTGGAGGAGAGCGAAACTGTTTAGGAGCCATACTGCAGCCACTCTTCCCAAGTGCACTTAGTGGTACACAGAGCCACCGTGTGGAGTTCCACGTGAGCAGGTGCAGACGGACGGGCTAAGAGAGAAGATTCTCTGAGTTCCTGGCAGTCTTCCACTTCCTTGTTCTATGCTACTTACAAGGCCTGCTCCATTCTTTGGCTTCTATGAGACACACCTGTATCCTTACAACAAACGCATTCATTAAGTCATTCATTCATGCTTCAGATGGTTTCTTTAACAGCCGCTGTCCAAATTAATGTAACAGGTAAACAGGGTACTGACCACAATATATGAGCAAGTTTTTATTTATCCACTTTCCTGAAGGTATATAAAGGCACAGATTGTTTTTTTATTTTTGCTTTTGTTTTTCTGTGATGAGGGCAAAGATGGATTCAATAGAGGAAATCACAACATTATCATAACAACCAGGTACAGCATAAAATAAGGATGCATCTCCTGGACAGGTTGTTTCTTTTTACTAAAATGTTGCTGTACGCTTGTTATTCATAGCTAGAATGTTTGTGCTTGAAGACTTGCTACAATTATAATTTTAAACTTTCACCAATAATTAACAAAGACTCAAAACCAAATATTCAAAGAATGTTTTTACTATTTCTAGGTGCTGGTTCCCTGCTGTCTCTAACCACAGCTGTCTTGTTTCAGACAATGCTTCCTTCCACCAACCACTAGGAAATAGAGAAACCTGGGTGCAAATTAGTCCATTTTTCAATTAATTTGTTTTGATGCTGGAATAAATAACAAGATTCAATAAAGTAAGCATTCTTCTCACTTAGAGTCTCATTAGACCTTAAATTTTCTATTTATACCAGCATTATGAGTTTTTACCCTTAGATGAAAGATCCAAGTTGTTTTATTTGTTCTCGTGTCAACCAAAACAAGTTATTCAAGTCTACAGTTCATTTAAACGAACGAATAACATTAGCTTTTATAGACACCAAACACCACACAACGAGATTAAAGTGTTTCACCATTTCTTTAATCTTTACTCAACCACTAAGAATTAGGTAGACAGTGGGGCACCTGGGTGGCTCAGTTGGTTAAGCATCTGCCTTCGGCTCAGGTCGTGATCCCAGAGTCCTGGGATCAAGCCCCACATTGTCGGGCTCCCTGATCGGGGGTGGGGCACCTGCTTCTCCCTCTCCCTCTGTGGACCCCCCCCTCGTGCTATCTTGTGCTCATTCACGCACTCTCTCTAAAATAAATAAATAAATAAAATCTTAAAAGAAAAAAGAATTAGGTAGACAGTAAAATTATCCTTAATTTGTATATCATTAAAAAACAGCGCCCACAAATAGTTCTCAATTTACATATTATAGCATATCACACCAAACACATAGAATACTCACATAAGTAAAATAGTCTATGAAAACTCTCATTTTCTCATTTCTTAAGCTTTCTAAAAATGTCATATATTTTCTCAAAATTGGTAAATTCTGAGCATTACATCTGACTCAGGAATTGAAATGGCGATTTCCGCTATAAAAAAGAATGAATGAATGTGGTGGAATCTAAGTAAGAAACTTGTATACTTACCAGTTTCTCAATTTCTGATTCAAGATTCTGTATGCAGTCAAGTTTTCTCTTGCGACAGCGTTGTGCAGCAATTCTGTTTTTACTTCTTCTTCGAATATCATGGATACAATCCAGTTGTTCTGGAGTCAGCTTGTGCATTTTCAACAAGGATTGAAAGTCATTTCGAGAGAGTGAAATTATTCGTTGTGCATTAAATGGCAGTTTTACCTAGAATGTAAAATAAACATTAGTAATTGTTGCCGTACTATGGAGTTATACTTAAATCTAGGAAGAGGAAGATACACACCTATATTTTCCAGAGAACTTCATTTAGACTTAAAAAAAAAATAGACCTCTATTTCAGATTTCTATATAATCCCTTATAATAAAGAATGATAATTTGATATTTCTAGACTATTTTAGAGAGTTCAGAAGACAAGCAAATTGAGAGCACATTTTTTTAGCAAATCAAAAATATTAACACAAATATTCATGCATTTAAAATAAAAAAAGAGAACTTAAGTTCTTTTACTAGAGTATGTTAATACCCCACAGATATCTTTAAGCCTCTTTCTAAGGTGTTTCTAACGTGTTTAACCAAACAAAAAAAAAATCTATTTTGTACTTTGATTTATTTTACTGTCTAGCACTCATTTAACACTGGTATAATTACACTAGTAATTTCTAAAGCATTGCAGAAAATTAAGTTTTCTGTCAAGGGAATAGTTTCACGTAACTCAACTTAAAAATCTACACATTTCACTTTCCAATATAGAAATGGTTAGAAAAGCCTTATGAATATTTTAAAGTCATTTTCAACATACTTAAATTGAGAAAAAGGAGAAGATAATTTTTTTTAAATAAAGAGTCACTATGTGACAATTATATTAATTATCAAAAATGCTTATAAAACATTGATCAAGTTTCTCTGGCAACCTACTTAATTTGTCTTTCAAACTAGAGAAACTAGTTATACAAAATGTTTTACAATTCCTTAAATGTCTTATTTTTTAACATTCTTTTCATAGTCCCAAACACTGGATTTACAAATGCCATAAACAAATCTCCAGCTATAACTCATGACTTCATATTACTTCTTAAATTAAATCACCAATAACCTCCTTCCAAAGCCAAGGGGGGTAAAAAAAAAAAAAAAAAAAAGAACCTCTCTCCCCCTTTTTAAACTCACGTCATCCAACAGCTAGAAAACTAAAGAAAATGATAAAGAACCAACAAACCTTTATTATTACTGGAATTATGGTAATGTTTTACAAAAAAAAAAGCAGCTATCAAATATGAACATTTGTACACAAAGTACACAGATCATGCTTGGTAAGGTTAATACCATACCAGCTACATGTAACTCATACCAAATTATTAAGACATTAAATTAATGGCTGAAATGGCTAAGGGAAAATAAGAAAAAAATTAATGGCTCTGAAAAACTAAGGCAAAGAAAACTCTGCATTAGAAGGCACATTCCTACACCTAGTCACTGCTAAATCACTGTTAAGTGACTAGTCCAGAGATCCTGTGGCAATGAATAAGATCGGAATATATGTTGCATTTTTCCAGGAGTTACCATGTAACAATCACAGAATCACTATTTTTTTTCCTCTTGGGACATGGTATTTGATTTAAACAGTTAAACAGCCAATGTGTGAATCCACTCCAGGGCAAACATAAATATACTTGCTTGAAATATATGAACACAGAAGTCCTTCAAACTTTGCCACACTCTTTGGGTACTGTTCACACAGTTTTATAACTGTCTGTGGGTTTCATCCCCCCTCCCTGAGCCTGCTCCTATGTCCCTAGTGGTGCAACAGGAGCTGACACAGAGTGAATCCCCATTAACAGTGGTAAAACAAGGACTTAGCAACACACACATTTTCCCCTCACCTCACATTCTTGTTCTCTGGCTGAACAGGGTTCGCTGTCACCTTCAGTATCGGTCTCAGAGTCATCTCCCAAGCTAATCACACAAGCATATGGGCAAGGTTCCTGCTGGGGTTCTGAAACATACTCATCATTTCCAATTTCCAAATTGCTTGAACAGCCTTCGGTACTCAGAGTACTTATAAAAGGGCAGTTGACGGAACTCAACGTTGTAAAAGTCCTCTGACCTGGCTCTGGGCTCTCGCTAATCCTGATACCTAACCAGGGACACTCAGACCGCTTCTGTGAGTAGATCTGTTCTGAACCATCTTTGGCCACAGCAGGTGATAACTGCATTTGGCAAGAAGAGTCTGTGCTGCAAATGTCACTCCAGAAGCCTTTTGCTAGGTGTTCTGCCACTTCTCGTTCCACACTACTCCGATCGCTGGAGGCAAGGCTACTGTCTTCCCTGGGGCCAGAGTCAGATTTCAAATGTAAATCCTGACTTTCACCAAATGTTTTCTCCTCTGGAACCTCTGTACCTGACAAAGGCTTTTCTGTTAACACTGCCGTGTTTTGCATTCCAGCAAAATTCAAGTCACCATATTGGTCATATGTGTGTAAAAGAGACAGAGAATAGAGCCCATGAGGGTCTGCAGAAGAATTGTGGGGGAAAGGAGTCACTTCTGATTTTTCTGATGGGCACTGAGAAGCAGGATCTTTCTTCCTGGTTTCTTCATGTTCTGTTGCTAATTTACTTTCTTCACATTTCAGAATCACCTGCAGATCTGCACAGTCCTGGATTCTTCCCAGACACTCATTTTCAGATGTCTCATTTGGCTGAACAGAAGCAGCATGAACGTCTTTGACACTGGATTCCACAGTACGGACTCTGTCAGTTCCAAAAGCTTTTTGGAATTTTCTGTATTTGGGGCATAAAGATGGCAAAGCCAGAGCAGCATCCTTTTCTAAGCACATGGATTCACAGGTTTGACTGGCACTGTCTTGCAGAGGAGATGATACTTTTGCATTTGCCTGATATCTATGCAGTTTCCACTGAGGAGTCTGGACATTTTTATTTTCCAAAAATTCCTCCACTTCGTCAATTTCTAAATCCCTCTGGTCCAAAAGTGAAAATTTAAGGTCTGCTTTTTGACAGTGTGACGGGATACATTTTTTTCTTAGGCATTCTTGCTGGTCAGCAGTGGAGTCCAAAAACTTAAATTTGAGAAACTGAAAGCAGGATTCCTCAATGTCACGTACACCTAAAAATTCCACACACTTGCACACTTCATCCACATTGTCCTTACTCAAAATCAGTTTGGCAGTGTAGGCAAACTGAATTAAAGGTTCAAATCCTTTAACTGTCACCTGTTAATATACAAAATAAAAACAAATGCATCACTTAAAGTGGTCTAGTAGATAAATAAAAGTAGAAGGGGAATAGAGAGATGAAGAACTTCTTTGTGATCATTATAAAAACAGGTCTTTTAATTTGGTAAGTAAAAATATTCTTCTAGAAAATGTAAAGCTAATTAGGAGTCTGGAAAAGCATGTTTAACAGACCCCATTCATTAGAACCATACCCTCCACTTTATAGATTCCACTTTTAAAGACACATGAATTACGGTTTTATTCACATGAGGTAAAGACATTAAACACTGCCATTAAGATATGTGTTGTTACTTTTTAAAAACAATGGCTAACCTATAGTTGGCCTTTATCATTTTCTTGGTATTGCCTTATTCACTGACCTCTGCCACAGAAGTGACAGTCTGTTGATTCCCCAAACTGTACAAACAATTTCATGGAAGCATGGGTGACCACCATAAGCTAAACTGTAGGCTTAGTATCCATCACAGAGTAGCCAGCACAGGCCTGTCTGAAACAAAAAAGTTCTACATACTTCCTCCAAACTCCTCTTAACAACCGCTACTTTGTGTCCCAATGCCACAAGGCTCAACACTCTTCTAGTTACAGTTACTCACTAAATTAAAGCAAGCTGTTCTATTAAGAGTAAGTGTGACCAGCACTTCCCCGACCTGAGAGGTCTCTTGGAGGCAAGACATAACAAGGACGGAAACATTTAGGTGCTTGAGCTCCACAACATGCTGGTGGGAAAGACATGTGTAAAACCAAGCTCTATAATTACGACACAAAATCATCTTTTGTTTACCAATGCACAGAAACAATATCAAGAAAGAAGAAAGGGGCAATAGAACACTTATGGAGTACCTACTTTCCATGAGCCGGTGTCTTAGAAAAATGGATGATTTTTAGAACCCTAAACCCACTCAGTTTCCCCTCAAAGGGAGAGAATGTGACATACTATAGCCATGACTCTGAGCATGACTTCTCCCAATGTCTACGATCCACTGGCTGTGCCCTGCTTTGGTCATTTATCAGAAAGTAACAGAGGGCCGCCTGGGTGGCTCAATCAGTTAAGCGACCGACTCTTCATTTCAGCTCAGGTCATGATCTCAGGATCCTGAGATCAATCCCCACCTTGGGCTCCACTCTGGGCATGGAGCCTGCTTAAGATTCTCTTTCTCCCTCTCCCTTTGCTCCTCCCCTATGCACATGCTCTCTCTCTTTAAAAAAAAAAAAAAGGGGGGGGTAATATAACAGTGGGTCAAGTTATTCAACTGCTCAATAACTATTGTTAACTAACATCCCAAACTAACAATTCTACATGTAAAATGTCATAATTTCCATGAAAAAAGTTAAAGAAATGAGTTGTTGCAGAACCTGGGAATTGCTCCTCAGCCTCATGACAAGAAGGACACAGTTTTATTTTCAACTTTATAAACCATAAAGAGATTTAATTAGGTTCAATTAAATTAAAAGCAGGGTGACTTCCAGAACCATGGACCTCTCTCCCACCTCTTCTGGTAGAGTAATGTTAAGCTCTGCATCGGCCTGGCCTACGATTCTCGAGTAGAGGTAACTGCTGCATGCCGCCAACACAGACCGGTGGGCGCGGAACCGCTGGCCCTCCACGAGGACAGTGACGTCACACAGCACGTCCTTCTTCCGCTGGTCGTTGAGGCTGAGCAAGACATTGGTGCTGTGTACCGAAGATTCATAGGCAAAAACCGCGTTCTCACTCAGAGACATTCTGTGTAACAAATGGTGTCGGGAAGTTCAGTGAAAGCATGCTTCTAGTCGTCATCAAACCTGCAAAAACACATGCAAGATTTCACTTGGATAAAGTCTTGTTAAAAATATATATATTTTTTTTTAAGATTTTATTTATTTATTTGAGACAGAGAAAATGAGAGAGACAGAGACCACAAGAGAGGGGGGAGGGTCAGAGGGAGAAGCAGGCTCCCCGCCAAGCAGGGAGCCCGATGCGGGACTCGATCCCGGGACTCCAGGATCATGACCCGAGCCGAAGGCAGTCGCTTAACCAACTGAGCCACCCAGGCGCCCCTAAAAATATTTTTTAAAACGACAGTGTCAAATATAACTTAAAATATTCATCACAAAAACAAAAATGAAAACAAAAGTCTCTAGAGAACCTAGACACATTTATTAATTTATTTCATTTAAAATAGGTTCTTGGGGCACCTGGGTGGCTCAGTCGTTAAGCGTCTGCCTTCGGCTCAGGTCATGATCCCAGGGTCCTGGGATCGAGCCCCGCATCAGGCTCCCTGCTCAGCGGGAAGCCTGCTTCTCCCTCTCCCACTCCCCCTGCTTGTGTTCCCTCTCTCGCTGTGTCTCTGTCAAATAAATAAAATCTTTAAAAAAATAAAATAAAATAAGATAAAATAGGTTCTTCACAGCCATTTTTAGTTAGGTTTCCTAATTTTAGGAAAAAGGATCTCGGGATGAGGGAGACAAGAACTTTAAACCAAGGATTTCATAGCTCTCTGAAAGTTAAGACATTTCACCCTGAGAAAACACCTCCAATGAGTGAACAGACTGGGTCAGGGAAATTTCTGGGTGGCATCCTAACCCTGTTGCTTCATGACATTAATGGGCATGTGTGCATAGTTCCCCAGAGGTCACCCTTGGGCGGGGACTGACACTAGAACAGGCAGATGGCATTCCACCATTCTCCATGCCCCCTTCCCCAACATTTGACAGCTGGTAGGAGGCTTTGGTCCTTTGTAGTAAGGGACACATTCTACATAAGGAAAGGTCCTCCAACATAAGGAAGAAAATGACTTGAGAAAAAGACTCAAATCTGTCAAGCCAGATCTTAACAAGTCTTTTTATAGAACAAGTCTTGCTTTACACTACAAAACAGAGGCAACAAGTACAACTATTTCATCATTAAGAAAATGCTTTACCATACACAGAAACTCTTAGTTTTCTCAAAATGTTTAAATATATCAAAAATGTGTATATATTTTTAAATATACCATATCTTAAATGTTTTAAATATTATGACATATAATAAATGCCATTTTCGATCATATATAAACGACTAGCAAGAAGGGTAGCCACAATATATGTATGTCTACATATTTCAATCGTGTACTATTCTTATATATTACATATTATAAAACACACAGAGACCAGGAAATTAAAAGAGAAGTTCTAGTATTTTCTTTCAGAGCACAATGGCCAGTGGTGAGCACCCCCAAGGAGTGTGTGCGTACCCCTCTGTAGCATGATGATCAGGCTGAGAAACTCCTCACAGGTATCATCCCTGTCATTCACTTCTGTTCTTCTGAACTAACTCACTGCCTGAAACAGGAAGGTCCTCAAAAGTTCAGTGACTAAATAAATGTTATTGTTTCCAGATTTGTTACACTCCAAACAAAAATGAAAGGAGACAAGAGGACTACTAAAGTTCAGGCACACCAGGCCCAGATCACGGGTGACTTCTGCCTCAAAGACAGGCTGTTTTAGTCACAAACACATGAAATGCATTTATAAATTCTATCCTACTTAGGTGTTTATCTTTGAAGTGCTCAATACAGCTAAAATGTTAAGTTCCTCAGAAGGAGTCAATGAAAATAAAATGTCTCATTATGTGGCTAAACTCTACCCTAGGTTAAGGCTCACAACCTATCATTCACTGATTCAGCACACCACATAAAATCATGGCAACTTCAAAATTAGGTACTAGAACTGAATTAACTTTTGGGTTGTGCCCACTCGAAAGAGTAAATTCCCTTTAGCAATCTGTCTTAATATTTCAGTTACCAACACAAGGAATTAACGTTAGGAATAGTAAGAAACCATCATTCAAAGAGATCATGTACCCTCTCTATGGGGTACCACACACCACTCTGCCCTCCACTTTTCTCTAAGACTATGTGCACCTTCCCCAGCCAAGCCAGACTCAAAAGCTTACCTTTCTCTGTCCCTGCACCCAAGTCCTCAGTCTCTTTATTCTTCTCTGGCATCTGCCTTGCAAACCCTTAAAACTAGACTAATCTTACTCTAACATCTCTTCGTTCTGCCAAACACCGCATAGCCAGGCAAAACTATAAACACACACAGGCTGGTGTCACTATAAATTCATGGTCTCAGCACTGTTCATCAGTTCTTTTGTGTGCCCTGATAGCCTGTTCTCCACAACAGCCTTCCGAGTAGCCCACTTTTCTCACAAGTTATCCAATCTCAGAAAATATTACCCCCCGCCACACACACACCACCTCCACAGGTTCCCTCTCCTATTGAAAACAGTCCTCAATGTCTGCTCTTGACCTTATACCATCCTTGCTTCTCTGGAATCCAGGACCTTCTCTTAACACTCTCTTCTCACGTATGTCCAAACTTTCTATGCTGGCTTCTTCCCATTAGACTTTGCTCATAAATATGCTTAAGTCTCTCGAGAAACTACCCTAAAAAACACTAACAACTAACAGCAAATATTCACTAAGCTATTATTCTGTATGAGGCACTGGCCTGAGGTGCTGACACAGCTTATCTTACCTACTCTTCACCATAGCCCCATGACATGGATGCTCTTATATCATCCCAACCTTACAGATAAGGAAACTGAGGCTCAGTAAGAAGTATCTTGGCCGTGGTCAAAAACCCAGTAAGACGAAGAATGAGGATTTGCACCAAGCACCTGACTACTCCATATCTGTCTCCAGTTAGTAGCTGCTGAACACACAGTATAGGAAGTCACTGCAGTAGTGTGGGGAGCCAGGTATTACTAAAAGGTTGTGCATGAAAATAGGGAAATGGGCTTCCCAGGTCACCAGGAGCAAATGAACTGGACCTGAACTTCAAAAAGAGGACTCTGGACTCTTCAACACTGCAACCTAAAAGTACTCTGATTCTCAAGGAAACTACAGCAAAAACAGTTCCCATACCTTCACTTTAGAGCTGCCGTCAGCCCACATGTGTATCCTCACTACTCATCTCGAATTCCAGAATTTATTCTTGGCTCAGCCCTCCAGTTTAGGCACTTGGGGTGACAGACCGTAAGTTCACAGCCAGCTTACAGATTTGCTGTGAGATACAGATTTGGGTGACAGGCCAACCTCAAGCCCCAGCTGCAGCTGAGAGAAGCCAGAGACCCAGGTAGTACAACAAACAGCCACTCAAGAGGACCCAAGAAGTGTCTCACTCAAGTGGACTGAGCATATGGATGCCATGACTCATCTTGCTCCCCGCACCGGAACCCTGGGACCCATCACGACACCTCCTTCAGCCGCTGCATGCAATCTCTCATTGGGACCTACTACCTCTGCCTCTACACACGGTGACCCACTTCTCTCCGTCTGCCCTGCCACAATTCTGGTCTAAGACGTCACTGGCTCTTGTCTAGGCAAATGCTGCTCAGCCTTTTGTAATGGCTTCTAAGCATACCCATGTACAAACATATTAAATAAAAAGTGAAACTAGGTTTCACATATCAATATTCTATCCTTACTAGTGCAAAGTATTCTAATTTCTACTCTGTTCTATTTGGGTTTTTTTTAAGATTTTTTATTTATTTGCGAGAGAGAGAATGAGAGAGAGCATGAGAAGGAGGAGGGTCAGAGGGAGAAGCAGACTCCCTGCTGAGCAGGGAGCCCGACGTGGGACTTGATCCCGAGACTCCAGGATCATGACCTGAGCCGAAGGCAGTCGCTTAACCAACTGAGCCACCCAGGCGCCCTCTACTCTGTTCTATTTAAAAAAAAAAAAAAAATTCCAGTTGTGATTCACTCAATTTCAAGAGCCACCAATGGACCATCACCTCACGCATGGAAAACAGCCCAGTGGCTAACACACAGGGTCTGGAATCACACACTATCCTAGGTTCAAATCCCAGCTCTGCCATTACCTAGCTATATGACCTTTGGGCAAGCTGCTTAACCTTGCCAGGTCTTGGTTTCCTCACCTATAAAATAAGGGTAACAACAGCACCTCACTGGATTGTCATGAGGTATATATGGACAATGAGGGTAAATGGGTTAGAATAGTGCCTGGCCTATAGCAAACAAACAGGAAAATATCAGCTGCTCTTAATAATTTTAATAATAACAAAAGCTTCATCCCCCTCAAGCCCCTCTAGATCCCCTCCAAATTATTCTCCCACATCGAAGTGATTTCTCCCTTGCCGAAACCCAACATTGTCTTCCAAATTTCTTATGATCAATTCTAAATCTTTAGCCTATCCTCCAGACCTGCATTAATCCAGCCTTGAGCTTCTGTCTCCCTCTCTTGCTATTCTCTAGCCTCACCATGCTTTCTTCCTGCCCCAGGGAACCAAGCTCCTCTCGACCTCAGGGATTTTGAACACACTGTGCCTGGTAACTGTACTTCTACTCCTCAGCTGACTAACTACTCACCTTTTAGGTCTCAGCTTAAATGTCAAAATGTCATCTGACTTGTTTTCTGCCATAACTCAAGCACGTAACATAACCGTACCTGACTCAATGCAGGAACTTGCTTCTGAATGAATGACTTCACATATTTACTACAAATCCAAAATGTAGATCATCTACATTTTCTTCCAAACAGTGCAATCAGCTATTCTGGTATATATAGGAACAATGCCACTAAGCCAAGCACTCAGAGGAAAAGTCTTTGGATAGCTTTCCCAGAGTCAGGAGCAGCAAAGGGAGCCTACCTCTGAGAGCCAAAAACGTATCTGCAAGACAACTGGCCAAAGAAGAACAAGACTTGGCAACTATAAACAAAGCCAGTACAACTGACTTGCATGAACAAAGACACCATGACCTTGGCCTCATCAGCATGGGGTACTACCGAAAGTTAATGTGAAAATCAATTTTCCTAATTCTGAAAACCATCTAAGTGGTCACTTATCCATTTTCACCCAATAACATAATGACTAAAGACTGGCACACATCCTTCTAACATCTTGTCAGTGACCTTCTAACATTTCTCAAACCTAAAAGGTAAAATACACCACTACCAAAGGAACCTTCCAGATTTAAAATTCTCTTAATTTATCAACACCAAATTTAGATTCCTACATTACACCTGAATTTTTCTATATTCTTGGAAATATATGCCTTTGTTGTAATTCAAAATAAAGGTTTGCTGACCTTTGTAACTTGCTGATTCATTCAGTAATGCTGATAAAGGATGAACAAGCATTTTAAAGCTTCCTGTACTTCGATTTGGAAATAACTTCTGTTCTCTACTCAACATATACAATTTAGTTTTCATAGTTACCAGTTGATGTTTTTGCTTTCAAAACAATAAAGAAAATAAACAAGATGCTATGGCTTCATCACATTTTCATAACTTAAAGGATAATTTACTTTAAAAAAAGAAACTTTTAAGAGCCTAAGATGAATATCTGATCATGGGCCAAGTACAATGCTTCATAATAAAAATTCAGAAAGTAACTATGAGGATGAAGTTCCACACATACAAGAGCTGGAATTTTGTTTCCCTCAAGTCTCACAGAACTTTGGCTTGTTTTAATTATCAATGTAGAAGGGCACACAAAATAACCTAACACCAAGGAATCACTTAAAAGAAAAAAAACTATCATCCAAACATTCTTTATCTTCACCGAACAATGACAAATGTCCTTTCTACAAGTGTATACCTGAGCTACCCAACAGATTTAGTGCATGAAAACAGAAAAGACAGTCCCTACATTCAAGAACATAATCTATAGATGTTCAAAATGAAAATGATGCCTTGGGACAAAAGAGATGACAATGATCATTATAATCAATTTACAAAGGAATGTGAACATTCCTAAATGTATTTATTTGCAATAAGTCTTCAAACAAAAACTACTTCCTGTCAATTCTCATTTAACTGTAATATTCAATTAATGAAAACAATGATTTCCAAAATAGTTCTGTTAGCCAAGGGGGTGTGTATGTGTGTGTGCGTGCATCCACGCGCATGTGTCTATGTGTGTAGATGGGCATAAGTTGGACGTCCAATATGGCACAAAAGCAATACTCTCCATCTGCAGCCTGAAAGAATTCCTTAGAACTCCCTTCCCCTTCTCTCTAGTGGCCATTCGGTATGTCTACCTTTTCCTCCTTATTGCTTCTGCCCACCACCAACTCCATCACCCTGTCAATTACTTTGCCTCACTCAGTTTCAGGTCAGGGTCTTTAATGGCTCAGAAGACAGGAAAATTCCTCATAGCACACCATCCTTCTCGGCTCCCTCCTAAGCTTCAAGCTCCCCTAAGCCAGTTTCTGTTACAATTTACCCAAGATACCCAGAGTTTGAGTGTTCTTCTGAAGTTAGGTGCACCTTATCTTCTACTGTTCAAGTAGATGGCAAAGACCCAACAATAT